GTCACTGGGATTTGAACTCTAGACCTGCCACTTGGGGGTTGACAACCTATCCACTTCACTAGGTCGCCACATCCCTTTTTTAGATCTTTTTGTAATACTAAATTAAATGTATAATAATATAATAATAATAATATATTTACAATTATTTATAAAAAGTATATGTATTTATATTATAATTAAATTAATTATAAAAATATATCAAAAATATATAATAACTACAAACTATTAATTTAAATCTTAATAAATCTATTTATATTTATTAGTACTAATATATAAAAAATTATATATATTAAATTAGTAGTAAAAAGAATAGAAAACTACTAAAATTAATTTAAAAAAATAAAAAATTATTATAGAAAATAGATAGAGAGATTATGATCAGATAGAATTAGAAAATATAGTATAACAAAATTATTATAATCTTATCTTAATTAGTAACAATAACTGAAATATTATAGTTCTAATAATAGAATAAAAAAATTATAAATATAATATCATATTAAGTAACTAAATAATTATAATAATAAGTAATATAGTAATATAAATAAAATATAAAAATTGTAATAATAATATTATAATATAATTTCAGAAATATGTAGAAAAAAATAATTAATATAATAAAATAATAATTAATAATTATGTTTTTTTTTTAATATTAAGATAATCTCTTTAGTTTTTTGACTTTTTATTAATACTTATATTAGATATATATTTATATAAACATATATCTATATTAAATTATACAAATGAGTATATAACTGACTATATATGTAACTTTTCTATATTACATATTTAAGAAATTTGTTCAAAAATTTTTTATCAATTACTGTATTTAATATCTTTGTTTAGGTGTTTTATTTAAACTTTTTGATCTAATTTTAATATTAACTTAATTGGTTTATTTAACTCAGATTCTTTTATCTTAAACTTAGAATTATAATTTTTAGACTATTTATATTCTCAAGCTAAATTTATTAAAATGAATTGTATTTCTTTTTATCATTAATCTGGTTGATACTATAACCAAGATCAATACTTACAGTTAGGATTATTTATTAAACTGCTTTTATTCTTATAAAATTTACCCAAATCCTAATATTCACCTTTCTGATATTTTTATTATTATCTTCTACCAATTGCAATTTAGAACCAATAGACTTTCCAAACTTTCAATTTAAATAACCCAGTATTGTATACTTATATATTCTTTTTCTTTAATGATTCTGATAACCTAGTTAATCATATGCTTTTCTATATATTTTGTCATCTGGTTTATCTAACAATTTCTATAAAAGTGTTTCATGAACTTTTATCAGTCTAATAATATTACCAAAAGTTTATACTATTTTTTTACTCAGGATTTCTAAGTAAACTTTCATCTTTTCAGTTTTTTAGCTTTTTTATATTTAGTAATCTTATCATAGATTTGTACTAAAATTTTATATAATATCAGTTTTTCATATTCCTTTATATATATGTAAGATTACATTTGTATAAATGCTCTGAGTTTTTAATATCAAATAGAATCCAATTTGATGTATCTAAAATTACAGGTACCCAAAACTTAATTGATCAACAAGAGATAGTTACTATAATACAAATATAATTTTCAAAACTTATTATTTGTGAGAATTGAATTTTAGACCTGCTACTTGGAGATTAACAACCTATTTATCTTACTAGGTCACCACACCCTATTAATAATTATGTTAATTATCTACCTAATATAGATTTTTTAGGATTAAAGATTCTAAAAATTATTTTGAATTATTAGTAGATATAAGGATAATAAGAGTAATAAAAAAAATAGAAGAGAACTATGCTTAATAGGTTATATAATAAATAAGGGTATTAAGTAATAAGAGATATTAAAAGAATATATAATAAATAATATGTTTAATATATTTAAAACCTTTAGAAATACAAATATAATAAAACAATATATAATAAAACTTTGAGCTTTACATAATAAGTAGTTCATACTTGTAATAAAATTTAACTCTAATACATTTCTGTTTTCATTACATTATAATACTTATGATCATAAAATACATTACTCATTAGATATAACATGCCTCTTATCAACTAAGCCATTCGTAAGTTACATGACATATCCCATCGAGAAGCAACTGACTTGCTGTTTCGACCATGTTAGTATAAAGTTAATAAAACAAATTTACAGATTGATATTATAAAAACATTTTTAATATTAATTTTTGTTTTAATAAAAATTATTTTAATTTATATATTATACAAATTTTCATATAACTGATATTAAACATCATTATGAACCTAATATCATCAATCTAAAAATTTCGCACATCATGTGATCTTATTGTAACACCAAGAAAAAAATTTTTGCTGAGACATCACTATTAGGTTAGAGTTAAGGTATTACAAATAGATTAGATTTAAATTATAATTATACCAAAACTTTGCAAAAAAAAACTTTTTGTTTATATGCAGAAGGCAGTTCCATAGACAAAATTTCGAATTACGGACGATTTTTGAATTGCTTTAGTTTCTTAAACTTTTTCATAATCTCGAAATTTGATTGACCAGCGAAATTTTTGATGTAAGATTCTGTAAGGTAAGCCGTTAACAGCCACTTAGTCGATACCTTGATTAGCTAGTTTAGCCAGCCGTTTAACACAGGTGCAAATAAATAAATCACAACTTTTTACTTATCGCCGGTAATACAATCCCAAAAAGGATTAAATACTTAGGGTTAGAACGTTAGCGTTAGGGTTATTATAAAATCGGTAAAATCATCAGTATTATTTATTATTGAGGATTTTTTATCGTTTATTGTCCCATTTCGTGCAATGTCCGTTAGCAATATCCAATCAAAATTTCCGATTTGGGTACACTACATATTTCTGCATATTTTACAAAAAAATAAACAATCTACCGGTCAGATCGACTAAGTATTAAAAAAAATTGGCTGAGCTGATACATGAACTAATTGCTTCGAACATTTATAAGCTTCTGATATCCTAGTTTTAATGATTTCGGAAATTTCGGAAAATAATTATACAGGTTGTTTTCTTTATTAGTGCAATATACCATAAATTTTTACTAAAGATACACTTTTTGAGCGAAGAAATTGGATTTTTATTTCAATTTTTTTTTAATCGATAGCTTTTATTATGCTCTTTTCAACAATAGGCACAGTTTTACAATTTTCATTAGCTTTATGTTTGTCAAATTTAGATAGAGTTTATTTTACATTGTTAAAGAAAAATTAGACCATTAATTATTATACTTGTTCGAGAGAAAAGCACACCGAAAGTTGATATTATTCGGATTTTCATAAAAATATTTATCACATGTGACCATAATTAATGTTTGACTTTACTAGTTTGATATTAGAACGTGAACATAATAAACTATAATCAGACCCTTTCACATGTAAATTTCGTTCCAATATTTTTAATTAGTGCTTTTTTCTCCTTTCGCACGTGGTCAGAATTCAAGTCGAAACGTGATCCTGGAAGCACGTGTAAGGAGGTGATCGACGTGGCGCAGTAAAAATTAACGGCTATGTCGATCACCTACCTAATATGGGCTTCCCGGGATTATCGCTCCTAAAAGGAAATAAATGCAAACGATGGTTAACGGGTTATACGTATAAGATATACGGATAAAGATAATAGGGATAATATGTTTAATGTGTTTAATAAGTTTAGTACCTGTAAGAGCGCATATGTTATAAACCCAATGTATAATAAAGGCTTCGAGCCCTACAAGAACAGTTCAGTTTGCGCTTATCATAAAATTCGCTCCTAATAATTTCCTGTTTAAATATATTATAAAACCTACGATCATAAACACACCACTCTCCAAATCTAACCGCCTCTTATCGACTAAGCCGTTCGTAGGTTACACGACATATCCCATCGACAAGCGACTGACTCGCCGTTTCGCTCGTGTCACTATATTAAATTCCAAGAAACATCTATAATTTGAACGCTGTTTCATTTTTTAGAAGTTTGCATTACCAACATAAAGCTGAAATGCAATTAAGTGTCTTATAGGAATAGATAATAGACCAATTCACTAAAATGTATAGTAATTAATTGTGATCACGAGCTTTGAAAATAGCGATAGACAATTCTACATCGTATTTACCTAAAATAAGGGCATTCAATTTAATTAACGTTAAATTAACCATGATATGGTTTATTTTGGTGTCACAATGGGAATCTTTAATGACTTTCACTCATTTTAAACAATCTTTGGTAAATTAATTATTAGCCATCTTCAAATAGCATGCCCTTAATTAATGTATTTGGTGCTATTTTGGGTTAATGCGGTACAGTCAACTCTCTCTAAGTGCAACTTCTCTCTAAATGCAACTTTAAATTCTGGCCCAAGTATATGTTTGGTCTCTATAAATGAAAATTTTTCTTAGTTGTTCTCTAAATGCATGCTGCCGAAATTTTGGTCCCAACGAATTGCACTTAAAGAGAGTCCGTTTCAGAGACTGAAAATCCAAGACAAGAATAGTAAACCAGCAATAGTTTTCCTTTTTTAATTAATTTATTGTCCCAATATTTTTTTTTTTGTATGACTGGTAAAGATGTACGTAGGTGCTACGTAATGCAATAACAAATATACAATTTTAAGTGTTTCCGTTAAATCACATTCTATCGCTATTATTATTATTGCTCAACTTGAACGAAATGAGAACTTCAGAAGAAGAAAAAGATTACGAAAATGCTCAAAATGAAGATGATTCAAATCCTCTTACGAAGAAGGAATTAATAGGGTGGTATTTGCATAATTTTGCTGTAGGTATTTCCATTACATTTTTTTTGCGAATATTGGCCAAAATGATAAAATTACTATAAGTTCATTCTAATTGAAGTTAGATTAATGAGAGACCGGATATTCTGAATGTTTATTGATGTCTGTCTACTGGTTAGTATTAGCATTCTGCAAGTTAAATTCAGTCGTCTGATTCGTCGAATGCCGGCCCTAATCAATAGACATTAGTCATATTAGCCATCAGTTGACCTGATTTAAAATTATCATTTGACCAGTGAAATGTAGCGGTAGTATTAGATGAAAATAAAATATTGACATTAATATTACTGATCTATCGTTATTATAATAGGTTGGTGTTTATGATGTTGCTGCGATATCAGGTGAATTTCCATTTAATATTAAGTCATTCCTTGTATGCGCATATACATTCATATGTAATTTTACTATCATCTATTTCGTCAATAGTGTTTATTCCTGTGGTTCTAGAAACTCTTTCCGCTCAAGCCGGATATGAACTCGATCAAGTAACTCCCTGCAATACTGTAGGTTGCAACTTTAGTCTCAAATTTTCACTATATGTATCCGACATTGCAATTCTCAAATTAAATTCCAGGCAACCATTTCATTTATAATTCATAAATGAGTTGTTTTGTCAGACATTCTTATGAATGTAATGCTATTGTAGAAGCTAGAGATTGGAATTAATCAAAAAAATTTTAACCTGAGAAAAAAAGTCGTTGATGTTGGAAAATTTCGAGCTTATCCAAATTAGTGCTCGAAATTCATCGAATCAAGATTTCTAAAAATGTTTGGATTAACCATAAACTAACAACGATTTAAATTAATTTGCAACTTATAGACAATTACCAATTATAAGTGCGTTACACGTTTTGGTGAAAGTTTTATCGACACTGAATCGTATCCATTATATATAATCGCGATATCTGTACTGTTTCAAGCGATTCTATTTATTAGTTGTGGTTCTCTGGCTGATCATGGAAGTATGTCGAGACTCAATATTTATATTGTATTAGCAAGCAAAGAATGTCCGAAAAATTGACAAGTTTTGTGATTTACATGTAATTTTAGATTCACGTAAAAAATTTCTTTTGTCTTTTTCTTTTACTGGCGCAATTTCGACAATTGCATTTATAGTTGTTGTTAATCCTAGTGAGTTCTCTAAAATTTCCTATAATTTTAGGGCAGTGATAAATATTACATAATATCTTTTTATCATACTCCTCCTCCTCCCCACGTAAGAGAAATTTAATTGGTTACTATCAATTCATATATCTTAACATAAGATATCAAGAGACCCCCTTTTGGATATTATGTAATATTTGTCACTACCCTTATGATAAGCAATATATGTTTAATTAAAATTTCTATTCATGTATGCAAGAATTATATGGATTAGCTGGATTATTCACTATTATATCGTACGTACTTATTATGCATTCACATCCCAAAATTTTTTTTATTGATAATCTATTCATAATGCTTTATATTATAACATTCAGAAACTGTTGTTTCGGCGCTGCATTCCTCTTCTTCCTAGCATATATTCCCATATTTTCTCGATGTCATCCAGATGTCATAAAAACAAAACATTCTGGTGCATCTTCTGCTGAGATCAAAGCATTGGAATATAACATCACCACCAAATTATCTTCATATTCAATGGTTGCAGATCTTACTGGTGGTTTGGTAGTATTAATTGCAGGATTAGGAATACTTTTAACAATTAATGACTTGAACGATTCAATTGGTTTTCGGCTTGCTTTAGTACTTTGTGGTGTATGGTGGCTGGTGAGTTATTAATTATTACAGTTATATCATTGAAAAAGGAATGTCCGAATTTTATGACCAAAGCAAATAAATGTGTTTATATTTAATAAATTGTTTAGTTTTTTCTTATTTTTCCCACAATGTGGTTGACTAGTAGACCTAGACCGCCCCTACCTAAGTAAGTTTTATTTATTTGTTCTTTTTTAATATATATATTTTTGTTATGATTTTATTGACATTCTCTTCAATTATCTGTAATAGAGGTGTAAATTATTTTGCATTTTCATGGAAACGTGTAGGAAAAACGTTAATGTCAACTCGTGAACTTTGGCAAACTATGAAACTTCTTTTCGCCTGGTTTTTTATATCAGATGGTCAAAACACAATAATAACAGTTTGCGTTCTATTTGGTAAAAAAGGACTTGGAATGACAGATACGGAACTCTCGTTATTTGCCATAATTGTTCCTATATGTGGTGTAATAGGTATATACCTATTACTCTTTATACAAAAATCATTTAATTTATCAATCAAAACAATGATTATATTAGAATCCATAGGCATGAGTTTGTTACCATTATATGCACTATTAGGATTTTGGTTACCATTTGGACTGGTAAACAAATGGGAAGTTTGGGTGTACTTGGTAGTGTTTGGATTGTTGGTTGGATCCTTACAAGGTTATTGTCAGGCTTTTTTTGCTATTATTATACCAGAAGGACACGAAAATGAGTTTTTCTCTTTATTTCAAATTACTGCAAGGGTAATTAAATTTATTTTAAATCATATCTATTGTATATGCATATTATCATTATTAAATTTTTTTATTTTTCTATTTCATGAAATTAATGAAAATAGGGATCAAGTGCAATAGGTAATACTAAATTTCATTTATATGTACACGTTTTTTTCCATTAAAAAAGAACTTGATCTCAATCAAAAAATTTTATTATGTATAGGGCCTCTCGTGTCAGGTGCTATCACAGATTTCACTCACGAAATAAGACTCTGTTTTTGGTTTTTGTTGGCAATAATCGCTTTACCAATTTTTATAATAGCAACTCTTGATATTGAAAAGGGCAAGAGTGATGCTAAGGCGTTTATTAGAAAAGAGGAAGAAATGAATAATAATAATAATCACTAGGTAAAATGCATAGCATTGTTTGTCCGAAGCTAAATAATTATATAAATTTATTAAATATTAATTATAATTAAATAACAAAGTATGTTAAATAATATATAATAGAAAAATATAAAATATATTAACAAATCACATGGGTGGACAGACGGAAAATTCAAAAGTACTTTATTGATATTTAATTAGAAAATACTCTCATAAATTTTGCAATAATTTACATAAAATTTGGCAGTTTTATTTTTTATTGGTTTTTTTAAGGCTTATGTTACTGACTGTATTGGTATTACTGTTTTAAATTGTTACAAATAAGTATGTAACAAAGCATGCTACAATTAGATACACTCTTGTTTTATAATGTATATGTATTTGTATCTATTTAAAGGAAATATGAAAATATGAAAATTTTCTAAATATACACACGTGCATATACACATATAACACAATGCAGATCACCATGCGTTAACACAATGCAGATCACCATGCGTTAACACAATGCAGATCACCATGCGTATAATTAATATAGTATACGAATATTTTTTAATATCTTCCCCGTTTCGAAGCTTTGTCGTCATATGTCATCGTCTCTGAGTTTTATTGTCATACATTATCTATTTCAGTCTGTCTTTTTCATTGCTAGTATTATCATTAGGTGTCATCCATTGCAGTGTTTCCTGTTTCTATCGTCATTCATTTCTGTGTTCTTTTTTTTTATTATACAAGTTTTGCTTTGACCAGAACGAAATTTTTTAGGTTGGTGACACTAGGATGACTAAAATAAGGTCAAAGTATTCAAATGCTTTTGAAAGGCTGCTAGTATTTGTTATAAAAGCGTGCTTGGAGTTAAAAAGAATAATTACAAGGTATTCACTTGTTATCAGACCAGCTTTAAGGTTAAGTTTGAAGTATTTTATTTTATGTTATACCTGATCTTGAGTTTTGATCTTTAGGTTTGTAATGTTACGATAACTGAAGCTTAATCACAAAATGTTTGAATATGGATTATATAAAGGGTATACTTGATTTTAGTATGTTATAAAAGTTTAACATGTTTTTTTTTATTGTTAGCAAAGTTATTATTTCTGATCTAATGGTTTTTAATTTTTATATGTGCATTTGTATTTTTATTTTTTAACCAGTTATAACAGTATTGTATTAAACTATTTGTAGTTATATTTGCAATTACAGAATATTATTTAACATATAAGTTTGCATTATTTAGTTATTCAAATAATATCTAAATGTGATCTGTTGTATTAATTCAGTTAGAATTAGAATTATAATTTATCTGATTCTTGCTTTACAATAAGATATTATCAATTTAAAGGCATCTTCTTATAAGAAAAAGAAAAACAAAAAAAATATTTTAGAATTATATGAGAGAAATAAAAATAGAAAACAAAATAAAACTAATAAAAACAAAATGGAACTAATTTATAAAGAAAGTAAAAAAGAAAACCTGCTAACAAGATAAAATTCTATTTATAATTATTTGTTTATTAAAATATTTTTATATCTATTTTAGATTGTAATTATTTTTTAAAAACTAGACATTTTAAATAAAATAAAAATAATATTTATTTATAAAGAGATATGGCAACTTAGTGAAGTGGATAAGTTGTCAACTCCACAAGTGGTAGGTAGTAAGTTCAAATTCCACTGATAGCAAAAATTTAAATAATCACCTATATAATATATAGATAGTATTACAGTGATGACAATCTGTCAATCAGTTGGGATAAGATACCTGTAATATAGTTACACCAGCATGACTGGCAGATTATAGGGCATCTGCACAATGTTGGGGTTACACAGAGGAATGCAAACTGGCATCAGGTGGTGCAAACACAAAATAAGTCCTTATAGTCATATAAACCTGTAAACTGAAAAGCTAGAGCCCATTTGGGAAGACCTGAGTAGAGAGGTAACATGAATTTTCAACAGTACTACTGTAAAGGCTAGATCTAGAAAATGGATACCAATATAAAAGGAATCAGACAGACAAGAACTTCAGATGAGGAGTATCACCAACCAGGCTATCAAAAGTCTTGAACTGAAGGAAAAGAATCTTAAGAAGCAGATTCTAAGGTACCAGGAACAGGTCATAATTCTACTGGTCTATTTGGATTAGAAGTCTAAAATCAGAAGCAGAGTATACTATAAGTACTAAAGATATGCTATAAAGTCAGTACTAAGGTCTAAGTGAACTTTACAAGGACAAGCCCTGTTAGCAAAGATTAAATATAGGTAGTTAGTTAGCAGAGGACTTCTTGAAGCCCTATAGTCAAGTAACATACTCTGAAATATGTAATGGCTTAATAGATATACAGACAAAGAAGTTAGAATTAGGTTAGATAGCATCTAATTAAGTATACAGAAACTTGTGCACTATCTGCTAATGTAGTATAGAGGTAACCTTGTACAAGTTATATAATCATAATTGAATTTACAATAAAGACAGTAGCTGCCAATAACTAATGGCCTTAGCAAAAACAAAAAAAAAAAATTTATTTATAAAATAGAATTTAAGCTAATTAATCTTTATATAAAAAACTTTTCAAGTAGTTAAGGTGTTGTGTTAAGGCTTGAAATCTTATATTTAAGTAATGTAATTCTTTATAGACCTCTATAATATTTTTAAAAAAAATTTATTATATATATAGCTTCAGAATATATATATATTTTAACAAATTTTTAATCTTTTTAGTTCAAATTCTTTTTTAATTTGCTTTATATATATAATTAGCTGATCTATATATTTATTGTATTTTTTATTTAATATATTTAAACAAATATATAATCATAAAAAAAAATAATATACAATATTAATTTATTAATTGAAATAAGTTAAATTTTCATTTTTATAAAAAAAAACAAAAAAAAGATGTTAAAAAAGTATTGTATTGTTATAAAAATTTAAATTAAAAAAATTTTTTTAATTGTTTTTTTTTTTTTGTTTTTAATATTCTTGACTAAAAAACTGCTTTTTTCTTTACTTGTTTTTAGAATATTCTTTTGGTTTAAATATTAAATATATAAGAAGTCTGTTAAACAAAAGACTTAACTTAAGTCAAAAACTACTCAAATTTTATCTATGTTTTAGTTTGTTTTTTGATATTAAGATAAGGTCTTGCTTATATCTTTATTAGTAATTTTAGTTATATATATTAATATACTATATATTAAAGATATACTAAGATTGTAAAATATAAAATAAAAACTACTTGTAAGAATTAAAGTTTAGACAACTTTATCTGTGACCTAAACTAACTAAGATGATTAAGACTCACTTAGATTTGTAATATTAAAATATGATTGTAAGATGTGCTATGATTAATTCAAAGTGTCAATCATATATTAATTTTTCTAATAGTCTGTCTAATTGGTAAACAAGTATTAGGATGTAAGTGTAATTGATCTGCTATTTTATATAAATATAAATATGTATAATTTATATATAATCTTTTGTAATATCTAGTTTGTTGTATCTGTTATAAAGTATTGTGAGTATTATGAGTTTGAAAAGATGTGATATTATTATTCTTTTTTTAATTAAAGAGGTTGATGCAGTATGGTTTCCATATTTGGTTATATATTTGATCATTAATATTAAGAAGTGTTTGAATAATAATTTGTGAGACTATTTTTATTAGTATGTTGTAGTTATGAATTGTTTTAATTAAGGTTTTAGGTATAAGGTCTTTAAGAATAAAATTAAGATAAAAAGAGTTTGCTTGAAATAGTATTTGGTCAAATGAAAGATGTTTTTGAATTTTATAAATAAGTTCATAAAGCTAACTAGTAGATAAGCCAAGATCTGCTTTAAATAAAATATACTGAATTGATGAATTAATAATGTTTATAATAAGAAAAAAATTAAGACAAGTTAGCCAATATGAGTAAGAATTGAAAAGATTATATCAAAAGCAGTTAGTATTTGTAAAGATAGTTAGATATATATTATGAAAAAAAAAGTATTTTGGTAGTTCATTTAGTAGAGCTTTGATTTTAAAGACTTTAGATTAGTTAAGTTTGAAGCTAGTAAAATTAAATAAAAGTTTTTGGTTATAATTGAGATATAGTTATATTGATTGCCAGTCTATGTAGTGATTAATATAAGACTATTTATTGTTTTTTTGTAAAAATCATATAGCCAATATGTAAGCTTTGCAAATATTTTTGATGAAGTAACAGAAGAAAACTCAACAGAATTTTGTTCTCATTGTAGAATATGAAAAAAATTGTAAATATTTGTATATTAAAAGTTTAAAGACAAAGAAAAGATATGTTGTTTTGCTAAAGAATCAACTATGTAATTAAAAGTATTATTTGTATAAGTCTAAACTTTGTAAAGTAATAATTAAATTAAAGGATTTAATAATATTAAGAAGTATATATTATAAAGGTTATATATTAAATTTAAAGAGTTTGTTAAAGTTATTAAGTTGGATAGAGAGTTTGTAGAACTTAGAAATAACTAATTATAAGTCAATATAAATATAAAGTATTATATTATAAGATATGATTAAGATTACAGATAAGATAAAGAAGAGCTTTGCCTTATAAGCTGATAGCTAAAGATAGATTTTAGCTAAACATTTATGAAAAACTAGATTGTTACTATTAACTTGGACCTATCCAATGTCCATTAAGCTTTGTTCAGTTTCAATATTAAATACTGATCTGTCAATATAAAAAGTAAATTCCTTATATAACAAATTGGTTTGAAAAATTTTTTCAAGTTTGTTTGAACAGTTATTAGATTTAAAAAATTCTGTAATAGTAGAGTTTGATATATTAATAGTAGGATAGTTATGTAAAATTCATGAAGGATATTTAATTGCTGTTGAATAAATAAGATCTAGGTAGTTAATATTAAGTTTAAGTTTAGAAAATTTTCTTTCTAGAAAACTAGTGCAGATAGTTGCTAAGATATTAATTGTACTGTCAGACCTTGTTATAATCACTCTTATTATAGTCACAACCTCATTATAATCACAGTTTTTTTTTTTACCAATCTAATTTATATTATATTAATCTCAAAATAGTCACAAATCTACTATAGTCACTATCACATAATTTTTTATAACCAACTTTATTAAATTACCTCAATATAGTCACAAAAAATACCAGAAACAGAGTGTTATATATAGCATAACATGTAGTGTATGGTTTTATGACGTTTAATGTGTGTCCAAATTTATGTGATTTGGTCGAAGTTAATTACACGATAAATGAATATAAATTTAATCTATTTTGAAAATTTTTTTTGAAATCTAATCAAAGAATTTTCCTTCATTTTGCTTGTATTTTATGTTTGTTTGTAATCTAAACTGGACCCTTGTAGAATTAAGATTGCAACTACTGAGCAAGATGGGTACTATTGAGTAAGATTGGTAGTGCATAAGTGCCATATATGGTACTAGTATGTACTACTTGATGATGTCTTGCTGCCTAAGAGTGCTGTAATTAGCTTGCTTACATATGTTATAAACATGCATATTGCCAAAAAAGTTATAACTTAAAGGTCGTAATCCTTGAAAATCTTAATTAAATATGTATAACTTTATTTTTGTTCATAATTTCTGTTTCTGGTTTTGTGCGATGACATTGTGCAGCTATCTAGTTACATAATATACAGTTTTAAACAATAACAAAACATTATTTTAATCTAAAAACATATTGTAAAAATTCAATTAATCTTAAAAATTTTATTAATTTATTTTATGATTATTGGCACACCATATATAAATTTATAACATCATGTCAGTAGCATGCTATCTGCACTAGCAACCTAGCAATAATACAGGAAAACTCACAAAAAAATTTCAAAATTCTGAACAAAATGTATTAAACTCTTAATAAGTGGCTGAAAACTCAAAACAACCAAAAATTTCATAAAATCATAGCCTATTCATAAGCAAAAATGCACTGTGAATAATTTTGCTATAGAAACTTGACTACTATATGCCTATTTTCAAGAATTCTAACAAGAATTTTGAAATGATCCTACAAGAGTTGTACAACTATTGATTTCTTAAATTATTATTATTATCATTATCACTGTTTTCAAATTCGTGCAATGAGCAGATTTTGTAAATCTTATAAACCCTGCATATTACTATTGTTAAAACAATGGTAAAATGCAGAATTCATGAGATTAATAAAATTTACTATCGCACTAATTCTAAAATAGCAATGAGAATAAATTAACCAAATTATCCTTTCTAATTAGTAAAAAACTAGCACTAATTGGTATAAACCTCTTTCTGCATTAGAGCTTATAACACTATCTAGAGCTCTAATAGTTATAATTATCCAATCATATCTTTTCATACTTATATTGGCTTAGTTTCTTGCCCCAACCTATATTGGACCTAGAACTAGTTTTCCATTTTACAACATGTGTATCTATATACCAAATTTACCTTAGTTACTTTAATTTCTCTTAGAAAACTAAATAAAGTTAGTATGAATTATTCAGACACTGCAAGCAACATGAGGAACTATTGATATTGCATGACTGATCCTTCACCTGGTGTGCAGCATATAAAAAAATTATTTTACAATACCAGATCATATTACTAGTATATGTTATAATATAATTTCATGCCATTTTATTATAATAAAAATGGTATGGATTATAATAATAACATGTACTACAGCATGATTTGGTATTGTAAAATAATTTTTTTATATGTTGCACACTGGGTGAAGGATTAGTCATATAACATCAATAGTTCTCTCTGTTGCTGCAAGCACTAACATATATGACTTCAAAATGATAGTCAATAATGCATGCTGTATAAATTCCAAGTATTGATGCATGCAATTCCTTTTAGTAATTGTAAAATACCTAATTACAGATTTTGGATATCACTTTCAGACACCTTTATCAAGAATGCACCTACTTGTTACTTGATTTTTATTATTTAAGGTAAGTATGTTCTTGATAGAGGTATCTGAAACTGATGCCCAAACCTTTAAAATACATAATACAAGACACTTTCTAACCTGAATAACTATGCTTGTGAGTACTAATTTTCTTATCAATATCAACTATTAAAGCTAGGCTCAATAAATGGTAACATTGTTTGAATAAATAGCAACATTGTTTGAATAATTAGAGTTAATCAGGGAATGATGCCATCAATATGCCCAAACAGTTTAATGGCATCTTAGAATATAGTATCTGATTAAAAATATACATAGCAGATTAGAGATGCTGAAATAGCAAGGCTCCAGAATGGGCTGAAGTATTGCTTGTAAAAATCTAAAATAAGAAAAATAAGAAAATAGTGAGATTAAATAAAATTAAATGTTTCAGGAGCCAAAGTAAAATAAATAAAATATTTCTGTCACATATTTATGTAGGCAAAAATGCATATTTTTAAGAATTATATGCATGAATATATTTATCCTTAAATCTTTTTTATCACTGTTTTCGAATTAGTGTGATAAGTTTTGGTGAATCCTATAAATTCTGCATTTTACCATTATTTTAACAATGGATTCACAAAATTCACTTATCACACTAATTCGAAAATAGCAATAAAATGAATGCACACCTAAATAAATATAAAAAGAGTAAATTTTAAAATTAATAGAAACACCTAACTAAATCCTATCTCAAGTAACAATAAACTTTTTTTTCATTATGCTTCCTAACTCAATGCCCAAAAAAACACGTAGCCAACTAAATAATGCTCAATGCAAACAAATTTGTGAATACTATATTAATAACTTATTTGCAAAACACCAAGATATTGCGGATAAATTTAAAAAGATATATCCTGAATTAAACCTTGAATGATCAATCATTTCTAAAATTTTTAAAAAAAAAGATCAGTACTTGCATATTGAAGAAAATACTACAATACAAAATCGGTATAAAAATAAAGGACCAAAGTACTTTTTAATTAAGAAAGCAATGAATATTTGGATTAGCCAAGTTTCAGCTGCAGGTCTAATTCTTACAGATGAATTGGTAAAATCTAAGGGTCATGAATTCAGAAAACTTCTTGGCATTTCAAAAGATGAACTAAAGTTTTTGAATAGGTGAATAACTAATTATAAAAAACAAAATTTTTTGCATTAATATAAACTTCATGGTAAAGCCACAAGTGCACCTTTGGAATCTCTGCCAAATGAAAGAATAAAGCTTCAGAATCTTTTTTCTTAATATAAGTTGAAAGATGTATACAATGCTGATGAAACAGAATTGTTTTATTGCATATTACCAAACCAAACATTAGCAAAGTAGTCTATTGCTGGGTCAAAACAGGTTAATAAAAAAACAAAAAAAAAACATTTTTAATACTGTTGTTCTCCTATATAGTCTTTTTCTGTATAATCACATCATAGTAAAACCCTTTTATAATTATGCCAAAGTCTGTAATGCTTTACTAAAAAACTTATAAAAAAATCTTTATATAAGCATATTATAGTAAAAGCCTTTATACAAAAACACAATTTGCATAATACAGACTGCATTATTATAGAGAAGGATGACAGTATTTAATTGATCTATACTTATAATAATATACTATTACAGAATAAATCACAGGTTACAGTTCTACTTGCTATGAATGCAACTGGCTTGCACAAACTTCGACCTCTGGTCATTGGTTATTCAAAAAAGCCACAAAGTTTTAGTGATATAAACTTGTTACAGCTTTCAGTTACCTATAAAAATAATGAAAAAGCATGGATGTGATCAGATATTTGGGAAAAATAGTTACATTATATTGATTCTGGGTTTCACATTCAAAATAGGAAAATTTTGCTGCTTGTCAACAATGCGCTATCTCATAGTTCACCTAAATTACTTAATAATACAAATAAAATACTTAGTGCTAATAATGTAGAAAATAATTATTAGTTAAATTCTGAAAATAAAGACTTAATAAATGATTCTAAAAATAAAAACTTAATGAATGACTCTGAAAATGAAGACTTAATGAATGACTTCTCTGGCTTCAGAGACAATAATGAAACTAAAAGGTTATTTGAAAAGCAACAAAAAGAACAATGTAAAAGACCACATGGAAGGCTCACGAAAGCACTTGAATCAACGTCAATTCTTCTCACAGACAGAACAGAGAACCTTCTGAGATGTTGAAGCTTACAAATATTATCTTGCATTATCTTCCACTCAACACAACTGCACATACTTAACCAATGGATGCTAGTATTATCAAGTCATTTAAGTTAAAATATAAATACTTATATTGTGAATATGTTCTCAAGCAATTTGAATCCAATGCTAATATAGAAAAGTTTGTATAATTATTATTATATTTTTATGAAATAACATGCAGGAGTATTATTTCGAATTTTGGCCTGAATTAAGTTTGTTTTAGACAAAATTCGCAATAATGCCCCTGTGTGTTATTTTGTGAAAATATAGTATGGTTTGTTGTTATTGTTTGAACTAATTTTTTTTTTCTTTATAGAAAAAAAATAACTATAAAGAAAGCAATTGATTTCATCGCAGAATCATGGGACAATGTAAGTAATACAACCATCCAAAACTGCTGAAACAAGACAAAAATTCTCTCGAACACAGATGATCCAGATATTAATACTATAGATCAGTCTGCTGAAAATGATTTTTTATTAGAAAATAATGAAATTGAGGAAATAGTTGCTAAATTATCAGATAAAAGTTCATATATGCCAGAGACAGCTCACACTACAATAACATATCTACAACTAATCAATGAGCCTGCTGCTACAGAAGAAATACTTAATGATGAGAAGATCATTTCTATAATTCAAGCTGATGAAAATGAAAAATTAGTTGAACAAGAAATTGATAAAGATGAAGTACCTGATTTACCCGTAATAGCTGCTGAAGTGTTTAATGCAATGCAAATAGTTATTTACTATGAAGAACAGGAAAATTCAGAGTCAAATCTCTCTCTCAAAGAACTAGGATTCTTAAGAAATCTGCTTAAAGAATATAAATGTACAAATGAAATATCAAAAAACAAAAAAAAATTACTAGTTTTTTTAATTTTCAAGGTTCACATTTTTATGATTCATGTTCTCAAGATACATACCCTCAAGATTTATATTTTTAAGATCTGTATTCCCAAGATCTTCAAGATTCATATTTCCAAAATTCATATTTCTAAGATTTATATTCCAAAAACTCCTATTCCCAAGAATTGAATTTACAAAAATCAGATTCATAAGAATTATATCTACAAGACTTATATTTGTCTTTTTAGAATATAAATATAAATAAATTTTAAATTTGTTAGTATACTAATTGAATTTATTGCTTTTATTCGAAACTTAGCTGTTACAATCTTTCGTAGTTGGAATTATCTTTATATGATCTCTAGCCCAATGTTGTTATATAAACACTTTTGGACACTTTTGGACACTTTTGGACATTTTTTTAAATTAAAATTACTCAAAATTTTATTAAAATAATATATTTTAATTTTTTTATAAATGAATCCAGCATCTAAAAAAATATATAATTATATATATTTTTATTATACTTTATTAATTATTTAAACTTTGGACATAGACTTGGACAATTTTGGACAATCTTGGACATTGGACATTTTATATAGTGTGGACATGTTCAATGTACAACACTGCTCTAGCCTGTAATTAATATATTATTTAATTAGCTTAATTTGACACATATGTTTCTATTTGGATTATTAATATATGTCTTGTAAATTTATCTGTGCTTGTATATTAAATATAATAAATCTTAAAACATTAAAATTCTAAATTTATAAACTGATTATCAGAAATTTGTAGCACATAATAATTGTGATCACCAGAGACAAGAGAACCTAACTAAAATAATAAAATAGGAAATCAGAGTATTGCTATAAAGTAACATAATAGGATTCAAGAAGCCATGATTAGAGGTGTTGACACAATGTTATAATTGGTTGTAATTATAATGAATTATAGCAAAAATGCCATAATTCATTATAATTACAACTAATTACAGCATTGCATCAACATCTCTAGTCACAACGAAAACTATATTCACATACACTTTGAATAGTTATTTCATATAATTATCACCTTAAAGTAGTTCCATCTGCCACATTGGTATTGTGTTTTGAAAAGTCAAAAACCTTTTTGCATTTAGAAATTGTTATATATAACATTGATAGTCATGCCTCAGTATCATATAATACCTAACCCTAGAAATAAATATATTTCTTTGAGAGATTACTGAATCTTATTTTACACAATTTTAAATTAAAGTTGACTAACTATAATGGATATGAAACATGCAAATGAATTTCTCACAGTATGGATAATATCTATTTTAAATTAATTGATTAATAATACATTTATTAGTAATGTCACCTATACTGCAAAGATCTGTGCAATTATAGTGTTAAAGAAATAAAAAAACTAGTTATTATTACTACAAATTTAATATTCAAAAAATTTTTTAATTACCTTTATATAGTCACTAAATATTTTAATTTATTATTAAAGTGATTATATAGAGGTTTTTTAATATAGTCACACCTTTTTATAGTCACTTAAATTTCATTTCCCAAACTGGTAACTATAATGAGATCTGATTGTATATTTTTTTTAATATCTTTAGACTTTTCCAAAAATATATTTAATTATAAATTGTAACTTCTGTTCTTGATTCTAGTTTTCTAATTACTTTTGTTTCTTTCTATTTTGCTCCTAATCTTGCATTTGTTATTAATTTGCAAAGCAATCTTGCTGGTATGTTAGTACATTTGTTTTTCCATTCTAAGCAGTACTCTATCTCTTTGCAACTAACTTCTTTGATTTTATTATTTTTTTACTTGTTGCATTTTTTTTTGCTAGCCTATCAGCTTTATCATTCTATTTATCTTTATTGTGGTTTTTAATCTTAAAAAACTTTATTTAAATGTTTTTTGTCCTAATAAGAACTCTAATTTTTATCCTCATATTGCATTCTTTTTCTTGAGAATCTTATTTCTGTTTACTTGTTCTAAACCTTTACTAATATTTTTTATTACAGCATTGCTATTTATATATACTTTTATCTAGTAATAAGAGCTAATAAGATAGCAATAAGTTCTGATTTAAATAAATAAAACCAAAATTTAATTGGTGTCTAAAATGTATATAATTTAGAATTATTAGCAACTTGAACCCATCCAATGCCTATAGAGTATTGAGAGATATCTAAATTAATAATAAAACCATTAGTATAGAAATGAAGTTCTTGTAGATTGGTATTGTAATTAGCAATTTATTAAAGATCATATGTTAGTAAACTAGATTCAAAAATAGTTGAAATTGAATGCATTGCAATAATAATATTAGGTGAATTTGCAGTTTGAGTAGAGTGTCTAATTGGAACTAAGTATAAAAGATCCAAATAATTAGCTTTAAAGTTGAGAGTTTTGTTATATATGTTAACTTGACCAAAAAATTAAGTTAAAAGATTAGTAAAAATAATTATATATTTGTTATTGATTGTTTGTAAATTAAAAAAACAGCCAGAATATGTATATGATTGAATAGATATAAGAAAATATAAGTGAGTAAATTGTAATTCAATTTAACATTGCCAGTAAGTAATAAGCACAGTACCAGATTGAAAAAGTTGTCTTCTGGTTTTATCAGTAATAATTTGGTTATCAAGTATTGTAATAAGTCAGGATTTTTTATATAATAAGAAGTGTTTAGTTATGTAGCTATAGTAATTAATATTAGGTAAATATAAATGTAAAAATTGTGTATAATTATATAAATGACTTGTAACTTGATCTTCTAAATAAGTAAACTAAAAAGATTGTTTGTCTTTTAAAATTTTATGAATATAAGAAAAAATGTGTTTCCAATTCAGTAAGCATAAATTATTATATGTAGTAAGTTAGTCTAAATATAAAATGCTATAATACTTAAGTTGATTTTTAAAAGTTAAGTATTTAGAATGTAAAGAAAAAAAGATTCTAATAAGATAAAGTCTTTTTGAATAGTATGTAAAATGTTATAAATTGAATTAGAAATAAATATTATGCCAAGATGTTTGAAAAGTTAAATGATTTTAAAGTTATTAGAATTGTTTATTTGGTTTTGTCAATAGTAGAATTGTTATGTATTAGAATACTAGTAAGTAACCAAAGATTATTTTAAAGTTGTTAAAGTTGAATACAAGTACTAATATCAAGAAAATCAAAAAAGTTAAGTCTTTTGGTATAGTTTGTAATATGGTGTTGTAGTTGAATATTTTATATATTACAAATATTATATAATTAAGAATAACATAAAATACTAGTAAAAGTTGTATAACTAAGTTTGATTTTGTTTTTAACAAGTTCAATATAGTTTGTAAAAATTTTGTTACAAGTATTTTGATTAAGAATTATATTATGAAGCTGATATTTAATTGTAAAAATAATAATTATATTAATAATGTATTATATATATGTGTTAGTAATTTGTTTGGTATTTATAATTTTGATAAGATATAAAGACTTAGCTATAATAAGTTTTATTTATTTTGTTTGTTTGTTATTAAGTATAAACCAGCATTATAGAAACTTGAATGGTTTATTTTAAGAATAAAGTTTAAATAAATAATTGTTGTATATAATGGAATTGTAGTTAGTTAAAGATTTATTGGTTGTAAATATAGATTTAGTAAAGTTAATTTAAATATTTGCTATATTATAAAAAGATTCTGCTATAGTAAGAATTTATGAAAGCTCTTGATGTAAGAATGCAATTCAAAAAGTGTTATCTATATAAATAAGAATTAAGCAATGTAATTTGAATTTGTTGTATATTAGATCTTTAAGATTAATTGGTTAAAAAACTTTTGTAATATAATTATTAAAGTTGTTATAGATGTATAAAATAAGTAGTTATTTTTTTTTTTTTTTTTCAGTATTAAGGTAACCTCTTTGGTCTGAGCTTTTTATTAATACTTATAGCAGGTATATGTTTTATATAGACCGATCTATAATGAACTATTAGACGAGTGTACAACTGGCTACACGTGTAACTTTTCTATATTACCTATTTAAGGAGTCC